CTCTTTTCAAACTCTTTCTTCTGTATTGACCTTGAAACTAGGCAAGTCATTTCTGCTTCTGACCATTATGCTCAGTTTCTTCTTGGCTCGGTTTCATCTCCTCTTGACGGGAGATATTTTACCTGTAGCACCAGCACCCTGGCACTTGCAGAGGGCAATAAGCAAACATTAGCCCTGCCCAACTGGGAGGATGGCATTGCTGCACAAGTCCTGGTTTTGCTTTATTGTTTGGTTGCAGATAGGTAACTCTCCGGTCCTGTTACTTCCCTGTGTTTCAGAGATGGTATTAGAGTGCTGACAAGTTTACACTGAAGTACGCTGATATTCGTCTGCTGATGCAAAAGGATAGCATAAGTGCTTAGCACACTTTTGTTGTTTTACTTTAAAAGAAAAGAAAAAAACCCACTCGGAAAAAACAAAAGCAGGGTACAAAACCAGTTCTGGAAATCTCATAACCAGGACTCTTCCAAACCACTTTGAAGTTGGCGTTGGACAGTTGCCAAGCTCAGGCTTCTTGCCTGTTCCAGGGTTTTGGGAACTGCGCAGGATGTGCCGGCTGTGGGCAGCACTCTCCTTTTGCTCCCGTGTTAGGGAAAACCTTCACTGCAAAAGAGAGTGGCCAAAAATGAAAAGTCTGAAGTTTAGCCTTATACCGTGCCTTTAGTTGCTTCTGCCATGTGCAGGACAGTGTGAATTTAAGAAATAGTGATGGCTTCCAGCCTAGATTCCGGGGCCGTTTCTTTTCCTGCCAGTATCTCAACCTTTACATCACCTGAAAGAACAGGTTTTGTGTTTTATGTGCCCAAAGGCTGCCCGTAAAGGTTGGCAAGGGCAGTCGGTTAAGTCTGCACAAGGTCAGTCAGGATGTCTAATAATTGTCCTAACACTTTACCTGTTATGGAACAATAATGAGAGTTTTTTCATTATTTTCGGGTGAGTGAACCTGGCAGATGCTGACAGCCAGCAGATGTGTAAAGTTCGAGGTGATTTGTAAGGGACCGGCTCATCTGACGCATGGTAATTGCATTGTGGGACATTGTCACTCAGCGTCATGTCCTGCTCCAGCAGAACGAGGTAAAGGTCAGTTCAAAGAGCTGGCGTAGTGTGAGGGGCAGCTCAGGGCTGAAATTAAACCCCTCATTTCCATCTCCTCCCTATACGTGTGCTCATGGTATGCCCAGAGCTGGGTGGCTGCCCCAGTTGTAGATTTAGGGGTTGTTTGGGTGACCGAGTGGCTGTTTTGGTCTGGAGTGGGCTTAAATCCCTCCCCTGGTAAGGCTTAGAAAGTTTCCTTACCCACCTGTTGGTGTCTTAGTTCAATGCTCATCTGTCCACTTACAATTTCAGGCTGGGAATTTTCTTTTGTGACTTGTTCCTTTGCTTCAGTGCCTGTGTGCCGCGGCAGCTCCCCGGGCAGCTGGTGCCTGGTCTGGCAGCACAACCGATGCTGGCAGCAGAGCCTATACGGCGTGCGGCTGGAGAGGTGCAAATGGGCTTTTCCTTTGCTCCCTGCTGCCCTGCATGCTCTGCTGTCCCCTCTGAGAGGGGCTCCAACAAGTTTCTTTTGCCACAGAGATGCTTTTAGCCGAGTTTGCCATTTGTGACACCCAGAAATGTCAGAAGCTGCTGTCCTTTCACGCCTAGCTGCCCGCACGCAGGTGAAGTTCAGGTTCCCCTGTTCCTGCTTGTGGGCATTAGGAGTGGTGTGAGAAGTCGTGTTGGAAACAGAGCGGATTTGTCTGACGGTGAGCCTGTTAACGGCCCCAAACAGGGATCGAGAGGCGGCCTCGGGATGGCTGCAGCTACCTGGACCATGCAGGGTCCCTGCAGCGTGGAGCACGGTGCTGCCTGTCCGTGTGCTCAGCTTGTGCTCTAATCAGGATTGATTTCTCCTGCTTCTGGAGTTTGAGTGGGATCTTTATCACGACCACGATGTATGGAAGTCAGCTGAAGCCCTGATTGACTGGGTTTCCTGGGTGTGCCTACGCTTCTGTAATACAGATGCTGATAAATCTGTAATATGCTGGAGATCTTGATAAAATGTGTGTTGTGTATTTCATCTGCTGTTGCCTCATTCTTCTGTACTTCCAGGTATCTAATCCCTTGCTCTTTATCTTATAAGGCATCACTTTACAAATTTTGTTCTTTATTCTTCTCCTAACATCCCCACGCTTGCCGACGTTAGAAATAGCAGTAACTTGCTCTGCACATGCTTCTTGAAGTATGAATGCTGGGTTGGCTCAGTAGCTTAAAAGCTTCCCGTTAAGCTGGCCAGCTTAGCAGCAGTATAGACTGGCTCTGCAAAGCATCTCGCCTCCATCAGACAGAGATCTTCAAGCCGTTTCTTTTAGTTTCTACTGGTGCAAAACCAGACTATGAAAACTGAAGGAGAGTTTTGCTGTAAACACGAGCAGAGCTACGATTTCTCCCATGTAGAGCTGTTGTTAAATGCTCTCCCTAATTGTTTAAGCTCTGACCTAATAGTTGTTTGCTGAGGCATGCTAGTCTGCAGGCTCTGCTCATGGTCCCCGTGCTGAGCATCGAGGGATGGATTCGTCCCAGTGTGTGTGTAATCATGCACGTACCGGTGAGTGTGACTGTACCGTACAAGGATTTGGCAGAGAGCTAGCAGGGATTTTTTTAGAGATGCTAACTTTAAAGAAGAGGTGGCTTTTCATTGGAAAGGTATTTTTGTAGAAATAAGTCTTCTCTGGAGTTCTTGATGATTTTTCTTTTGTTTAGTGTTCCAGGATATTTTTGAGAGTCCTTCTCATGTTTCACCAGAGGACTCCTATTTTCTGACCAGCTTGGCTTAACTTTCTGTAGACCTCGCCTGATCATAAGCATTTACTGAGCTTTTTTTTTGAGGTGGTAAATGCTCGTGACCACAAAGGTGTGAAGCAGTCCAGAATGTATCCAGACTGCTTCTGCTTTGGTCAGGCCTCTCAGAAGAGTAACTCTTGGTTTTCATCCAAAATCCTGAGAAGGAAGTTAGATTATAGTATAGGAAAACTTGAGTCTTTGCCTTCACCAGGTTGACCCGTGAGTGTGCTTGGTTGTCTGTGCAAGTCGGCAGTTAGGTTGTTTCTGAATTTCATTGACCTTTAGGAAGAGAAAGAATAGATTCTTATTCAACAAATGTCTGCTTCCTGGCAGTCATGAATCATGGGATTTTTTTCCTAAGAGTGTGCAGATAGGCTTTGCATTTAGAATAAGATTTTTTTTTTTTTAACCATGACACACTCTATTAAAGTTTGTTATGTATCCAAATTACACTGCTTTGCTTTTTAACTACAGCTGAAACCGTGTTTCGAATAACAGATGTGGAATACTGTCATCCCACTGTCACACCAATTGTTCATTGTTCTGAGAAGGTCACATCATAATTCATTAACAATAATTATTCCCTGGGTACACCCTGCACTTCTTCACTCAATTGCTTCATTAACTTGTGAGTGAATCTCACATTCACTGCTCCAATCAATGAAGATATATTTATAATGTACAAGTGGATGCTATTAGTTACAATATATTAACTGCCTAATTTAAAATAGAAAAGCTATCTTTATGAAGGGCAATTAACCACTAAGTGTAATTGATAATTCACATACCTATGATTAGGAAAGACAAATAATAAGAAAGAAATGAATCACCAGCGTTATTGAAGAAGACACTGGCGTGCAGTTTTAATGAGCGGAAGGGGCTCTCTGGGTCAGGACTGGATTTCTAAGAATCCTTTGTTGGAAAGTTCGTCATGGGATGTGTTACCTCGAGGTGGTTTTGGTGTTTGCACCAACTGATGGGGATCATCTTCCTTAGAAAAGGAACCCAGCGTGTTTTGTTGTCTTGAGAATCAATGCAGGGGCTTTCGTAATAGAAAAGTCCTTTTTCATCCAAACACAAAGTACTAATATTTTAGTAAGAATTTATAAGCCTAGCCTCAAACTTACGCAGGTGTCTGAACCTGTATGAGCTCAGGTCCTCAAAGATAATTATGTACAAATTCACACTAAAACTGACAAAAATTAGACATTTTAATATATTTGAGGAGCTGAGTGACAGTCCCTTTGGCAAATATTTTTTAAAAAATTGTGCTACATTTTCAATGCTTCTGATTTTCCATGGCCACTTTGAAATACATTGGTTCTCCAAATAGCTGACAACTCATCCTTGGAGAAGAGGCCTTTTCATGACATCCCCAGTAGATCACCACAGCTTGGGTTGGGAAATAAAGCTGCTTAGAGGCAGAGGACTTGCACAAGATTACGGACTACCGATCCACAGGAACCATCTCCTTGGCTCTGGGCACTTGGGGCCATGTTTTCTTCCTTTAGAAGCCATTTACCTCTAAGCATTTTGTAATGAATCAGTTGAAGTACCGTATTTTTTGGGATTACCCACCAAGTAACAGCACAGGTGTTTTATGAGTGATTAAATGATAAATGTAACTGAAGCCACTCCAGTGTTGATAGAAGCATCATTGCAACTAGCTGGCTTCTTACCTGGAGTCTGCAGAAGTGCAAAGCCTTGCTGTTACCTCCAGCTGATCATCAGTAAGTGGAAAGGTGAAAATCCAAGTTAAAATGCTAAAAAACAGTGGTATCACACCGGCTACTATACTCATGGCTGTGCAGTGCTTTCACGTCGTTTGTGTCTATGTCCATGGACCAGTTTAAAGGAAAGGAACTGGATTTGGGATTTTTTGCTGTGTGGAGGGAGTCTGTGCCTGACAGACCATGGTGTCCTGGAGATGGTGGACATCACCTGTGCTGCCATGTTCAGTTTAGCTCTCTGCTCCAGAAGGGCAGTTATATGCTATGGCAGGGGCAATGCATGTGAAAACTGCAGCTGTAGTGCCCAGAATCAATATTTTAGGTGTGCCTTAGTCACAGTAAGGGATCCTGCTCCTTTGCAAAGAATATCATCTCTGCATTTTTATTGTAATTATCCAAGTTAGGTGTGGGACAGCAAAACTGTTCCTCTTAGCTCGTTTTCTATGTATGGTTAACCCCTCCGCTGCTTTACTCAACAGGATCAAAGCATCTGGTCTGAAGCTGCGATTCTGCACTAACGAAACCCAAGCAACCCGGGAGAAGTTTGTGAAGAAACTCCAGGGCATGGGCTTTGACATCTCCGTGACTGAAGTCACTGCCCCAGCGCCAGCAGCCTGCCGCATTTTGAAGGAGCGCAGCCTGAGGCCTCACTTGCTCGTGCACGATGGTAGGACAATGCTGCAGCAGATGCTGGGGTGCGCAGGAGGACAGCCCAGGGAGATGTGGGCGTTTGCGATAGAGCAGTAAATTCCCATAGCTCATGCGGGGAAGAGCTCCCAGCTGTTGTTTTCCTACAGGGAAAAGCTTTTTCCTTAGTCATGAGACTATGGAATAAACCTTAGTGGTCTGGTCTGAGAGAGATCTCCGTTACGGCAGTGGTACGGTGAAGGCACAGAGACGTGCTGGGGGTCAGTGAGTGCACAGAGCAGTCTGCTGCTTAACCACAGAGACTAGGAGATAGGTGAGGTCTTGTGCAAGACACTACATTGTCTTTTGTTATCATGACAGAGGTTTTAAGGTTAAAGTGAATGTGGGTATGGAGAAAGGAGGTGGATCCTGCCCTCGTTGTTATGCATGTTTATTTGACTACCCAGGAGTTTACCTTGGGTCTAGGTGCTTGGGTATCATGAGCCACTGAGACATGGGTTGCGGGAGCTAAGGAAATGGTGTAATTTGCTCTTTGTGGTAGGACTGATGGATAGCAGGATCCAGTCAGGAATAGAGCGGTCTGAAGAACGCTTGATTCAGACTTGGATTTATTTTTTTCTTAATGTGTTGTGTCATGAATGAAGAGAAACACAAATCTGGGGGAAAACTGTCAGTTCCAATGGAGTCTGAAATGGTAAGGGATTTGTGGATTTTTTTTTTTCCTTTCTTCTGTAGATCTTGTCCCTGAATTTGCTGAGATTGATAAAACAAACCCAAACTGTGTGGTTATTGGAGATGCAGCAGAAAACTTCACCTACGCAAACCTTAATGAAGCTTTCCGAGTTCTGATTGGGATGGAGAAACCTGTTTTGATCTCCCTTGGAAGAGGGTGAGTTAAGCACTGTTTCTTCATCAAGTCTCCACATTTTTTAATTTTCCCCAGTGCCGTTGCACTTAATGGAGGCCAGATACTGGTGTGGGCATTCACAATACCAGCTATTAAGCAGTTGATGTATGCGTCTGGACTGGGAGGCTGATCTGCTCAGATATCTGTCAGTGAAGTCCTCAATGGGTAATTCAGTCACCTAACCTGGCCTCCTGTCCTGAGTCACTTACTCGTAGTCTTTCTAGGGGTGTAAGGGCAAACTGAGGTGATTACACTGAAATATGTGTCTAAAAGAAGGTGGTATGGATGCTCCCCATGAGCCACAGTTCAGCCCTGTGCTGATGCAGGATTGCAAAGGGCACTGGAAGTTACTGAACTTGCCATGCAGAATCCTCCAGTTGACTTTGAAAATACTCATCAGTGCCGCTACAGCACTGGGTGAGGCACCTCTTGAATTTCAGCTGGTGGTGGTCTTTTTTCTGTAGACGGTGCGGAGAGGCAGTTGTGTGGATGTGTTTCATCAGCTGCTAGAGGGTGAGAGATATAGCTGCTCTTCTGAGGAGAGAAGCTGCTCTTCTTTTAGAGAACTTGGAGAAACCCTGGTGTATAAGCACAGCAAATGCCAGCCTCCAACTCTTCAAAGTCAGCATTCAAGAGTAAGCTAGACCTTGAAGAAACAGTCCACTGTTTGCAGGTGGCGGTGGGAGGATTAAATAGCTGTGGTTTTGTAAGCCACTAGGAAAAGGACTTTTGTTGCTTTAAGAGCAAGTCTGAGAACCTCTTAAAAAACCCATAGAAATCATGAATAGTTTGGATTTTGATGTGTGCGACCCCCAAATGAATGAGTATTGCAAAAGGCCGACAGGATTATAGACACTGCTTGTCTTTTTATCTTTGCCTCCGCAAGATCTGAGAGATGGGAACTGTTGGTTTAACTGCTGCCTATAGCCATGTGTTCCTGTCTGAACTGAAAAGAAATGATTTTAAATAGTAAAAGAAACCCAAAACAAACAAAAAAATCCAACAAGCCATGCTTGGATAAAGGGCTGTTGATGTAGATTTGTGATGCAGTTTAATCTTCCAGCATCCTGAAGTTACTAATGGTGAGGAGGATCAGGTGGTCCAAAAATTCTCTGTTTCAGCCAACAGTCAGCCAGGTTTCTTCTTCCAGGTTCAAATCCTGCCCACATTTGTAGTGGCTGAGATGTGATACTGGATGTGGCTAACGGCCTGTGTGACATAAATGACTCCTTGCTTTTTGAGCGCTGCTTAAAGATGCTGTCTCTGAAAGCTGGCATTAGCATCTCTGCAGGTTTATTCATATGTATGAAAATGTCGTACATAAGGGGACGCTTTCATCCTGGTGGCTTGAGAATTGCTATACATGAGGAATAAGAAGCCAAGAGAGTTTTTATTTGCTAATATAGAAACCTTACCAATTTATGAAAGTAGCTGCAATGCACAAACTCCACCTGAACTATGTTGGAGAAGGGGGTAGATGTTCCTCTGGCTGTGAGTAAAGTGTGGTGGCCAAGAAGACCCGAGGAGAGAGCCCAGGGATATACTGAGAAATGGCTGGGCTGGTGTGTATGGTAAAGATCTGCAAACACAACTGCGCTTTTGAAATGACAGATCAGTTGTTTTGATAGTTTGTATTTCAAAAGACATTTTTAATTATTCTCTGAACATTAAAGTTAAATTTTGACCTCCTGCTTTCACATGCAGGAAAAATCCAGTCAGGGAATTTGAATGTTTTCCTAAAAACAGTTCAGTTAGATATATTCTGAGATTTTAAATGGGAGGTTGTTAAAGCCAGCACTGAATAATGACAAATCGCAGCGGCCTTGAAGGAGTTACTCTTACCTGTTGTGCAATGTATGGGCTTAAAAAAGACTATACGTGTTTAGCTTGAGGAAACTGTAGTAACAACTTTTTTCAGTAATTCAATAAGCCGTAATGGGCGTGAAAACCCTTCATAGTTTGTGGGTTATTGATCCAACTGGGAAGAACTTATCAGCGGGAAAGAGCAGTTAAATCCATTGTGTTGCCTTACCTAACACTCACGCCCTCGTCCTACAACATGGATGAGAAATCCTTGCTCTTTTCAGTTAGAAGGATAAGGAGAAAATGTTGAGCCAACAGTAGAATGGCTAATGTACATAAAATAACCAAGTTTTGTGTTATGTTGTCACCGTTTAAGGCTGGGCCGGC